GGAGGCCGTTAGTGCGCTCGAGAACCCTGACCACAGCCCCCAAGTTCTCCTCATCCTTCCGATAGAATCAGTCACCCTTTGCTGCTCAGTGATCCCATAAAGCTTTATTTTTGTGTTAATCCTCACCCAAGGGTATTTTTTCCATTGCTTTTCAGACCCGGGTGGGGGTGGGGACGGATGGGGAGGACGCCACCACCTAGGTACGTGTCCTTAACTGGGAATCCAACAGGGGACCCTGTGGTGCAGGCCAGCGCTCTAACCACTCAGAAGACTGGCCAAAGCTTTATTTTTATCTCTAATGTAGCGCTCCCCAAACTATTAAAGGCGGTGTATGCATGTCTTCTCGAGGCTAGATTGGGAAAACCCTGAAATTAGTTTGTTTTGTCCAGCTTTATACCCCCTCCCATATTGTCCACCGTCATGCGGGCCCACTGCATTCCTCCCACAAGCATGGAGTAGGTTCCACTTAAGTCAGAACCTCTCCAAGCCCTTTCATTCCCACTTTTCTGAAACTAAACAAGGGAAGCACTTCTTTTGTTTACGTAGAAAGGATCAACGCTTGGTTGTTTCACATGAGCTTTGAGCAAATGTCGGTTTCTAAAGTCTGTGCAGTTATACAGCCGGTCATGAGAGTTGGCTCCACCTGACTTCCAAGTGTATCATGCAGAGAAGTGCATAAATACCCTCTCCTCCCTAGGATTGCCCATATGCTCAAATAATAATGTTTTTTCAATAAACACAAGAAATTTCATAGGTGGCAATGACTTTATTAATCAGGTTAGAAGCTCTGCCTACAGTCTCTAAATCTCCTGGTTTTGTAGCAAATTCACACAGTAAACTACTTATTTCACTATATCTTTGAGACTTTATTTTCTCTTTTACATCTTCTTTTCAAGTGGGACACTGCACTCCTAGGAATCTAGATCTAGGTTCAGAAAAGAGGATACAGTATTTCTATAGTAGTCAGAGGACGCACCACCGTAGGAGACACACAGATGTTGCGTTAGGGAAGGAATGCTCACTCTCTTCTGGAGAAGTGTGAAGGAAGGTCCACATTTGCTAAGGAAGTGAAGTCTCAGAAGCAATAATCCCATTCTTTTAGGCGCTGCCTTTTTTTTTTTTTTTTTTTTTTTTTTTGCCAAGACTATCTGCTGACAGCCCCAGGCCCCACCCTAGGCAGCTGACTGCAATGCTATGAAAGACTAAGTAACATTTTACTGTCTCCATTTGTTCTCCCTCAATCAGGATTGAATGTGGAACAGGTGTGGTCAGCAAAGCAGAAACATCCCCTAGAAAACTGTCAGTTAGCCTGATCCCTAGACAAGCTCCTGGGCATCTCTGAGGAACCCCATTCCTTCCCAAGGCGCTACAAGCGTGATGAAGGGAATCTTAACAGGAACCAAGCAGTCTGCACGGGATCTCCATTCCAACAAAGAATGCCAGAAACTTCAGACTTCAAATTAAATCTTCGTTTGTAACAGTTTTCTTTCCTGTGATCCAGTTTCCTCTTAATTAATCAGGAGGGATTTGGACTGTGCATTGTTGGAACTCAGCGTTATCATATCATGTTGAATTCTGAAATCACTTGGGACAGATTTCTAGATCCTATATAATAAAAGGCTAATATTCAAATTGTCCCCTCGACCAGGAGTTTGACCAGGGAGTGGTGCTGGCTGGCCAACCTCCCACATCCCCTCTCCCTAACCGGCCTGGGCTGATTGGCCCTATCAGGGTGGGCTGGTCAGACCCCACCTGTGCATGAATTCATGCACTAGGCCTCTAGTAGAGTAATAAAACCTCTCCCAAATTGTTATAATCCTAGGAGGCAAATGACTTCCATGACGAAAAATTGACATTTTAAAAATAAAGTGGCCATACTATCAGAAGTAATTAACTTTCATACCTATTTGCACACTAATTGACAGCCTTTTCTATCAGAGAGGTGAACCTTGTGTCAAGATTGGAGAAAAGGATACAGTATTCAAGCCTATAGAACTGCTGTATGAAAAAATGCATTCGTCTCACTGTAAGAACTTTCAGTGCTGAGCTCTGAGCATTTTATCTGGTTTAGTACATATCATAAATGGTTCTTTTTCGGTCCAAATGACCTATCTATCCCATCCTTTTAAAAAAAACAACAACTATACAGTGGGGCCTTGACTTACGAGTGTCCCGGCTAATGAGTTTTTTGAGATACCAGCTGTCTCTCGGCTGATTTTTTTTGCATTGAGTTGACAGAGTAATTTGAGTTAACGAGCTCCTTCACAAGCTCGGTCTAGGAAGGAATTAAACCCAAGACCCCGCTGTATATCAGTCTTTTCTTCTTTCTGCAAAGGAGGTTGTGTTATTAAAAAGAAAAGGTAATGCTTCTTATAGTATCCACTTATTTTATCTTTATACAACAATTTGAAAAGACTGTTATAAATAATCTATGAAATTCAATGTGTGTGTAGGATTAATGTGAAGATTTAAAAACTGATTGGACCAAAATGTTGACCATGGTCTTAATTTAATATGAGCTTAATTTAATATTGTTTATACAATAATTGAGACCTGGGGCTGGAAAACATGACTACTGTCATCCCCTTTATCTGGGCCTCAATTTTCTCATCTGGAAAATAAAGGTTGGATGAGGTGTCTTCTCAGGTCTGTATGGAATAGAGCTGAAGACAAAAGGAAAAGGCAACTTAGGATCTTTGCTCACTAGGACAAAAAGAGGCACAGGCTTCGAAGCAGACGGACCTGGGTTCAAATCTCAGATCTTATTTGCTTTAGGAAGTTAGATTTCATTGCACTCAGCTATAAAATGGGACCAAGCTATTTTGAGGGCTGATGAGGTTTAAATTAGAACACACCTATAATGTTCCTAGTACAACCTGTGCACATATTTTATGCTTCTATAAATGGTAGGACCATATTTTAAGGTGAAGAAAAACATAAGGCTGAGCGCATGATCGATCTAGCAATTTCCACTCTGGCACCTGGAGAAGAAAGGGAGCGAGCAGATCCCTGTCCTTTACCGGCAGAGATATCCCTCTGCCGTGATGAAACCGGAGCTGTCAGGGTCTAAAAAAAGCACCCCATCAGGGGGAAGGCACCACATCTTGGCAAGAAATGCTTCACATACTTTCATCGTCACCAAACACTCTTCCCACCCCACACCCTGCTTCTATTTAAATCCGAGGCACTCCACTGGTCCCCACTCACTTTTCGGGTGCCCAGGCTGTCAGCACGGAAGAGAAGGGAAGCATGACTACAGGAGAGAAAGGAAGGGAGGAGGGGCCAGCCAAGAGTGCCCTGCGGAAGATACACAGGGCCACCCTGGTGATCAACTTGGCCCGAGGTTGGCAGCAGTGGGCAAATGAGAACAGCACCAGGCAGGCCCAGGAGCCCGCAGGCTGGCTGCCCGGAGGGACTCAGGACCCACCTCAAGATCCTAAACCAGTGATACATCCCACTCCCCACCAGAAAGCCCAGAGCGCCCCCAGGTCTCCCTCCCTAAAGCCAGAGGGGCCAGGGGAAGGACCGAGCTCAGGGGAGGCCTCGGAGGTCTCCCCTATCAAAAGGAAAGAGGTGACCAAAACAGTTGTCAGCAAAGTTTATGAGAGAGGAGGAGACGTGAGCCACCTCAGCCACCGGTACGAGCAGGACGGCGGCACAGCTGGCCCTGGGCAGCCGGAGGATGACATCGACAGGATCCTCCACAGCCACGGCTCCCCGACACGGAGGAGAAAGTGCTGCAACCTGGTATCCGAGCTGACCAAAGGCTGGAAGGAGATGGAGCAGGACGAGCCCAAGTGGAGGAGCGACAGCATAGACACGGAGGACAGCGGCTACGGAGGGGAGACGGAGGACAGGCCCGAGCAGGACGGAGAGCAGGTGGCCGCTGCCCGAATCAAAAGGCCCTTGCCCTCCCAGTAAGTGCATTCATCCGTGGGCTTCTTGGACTACCACTGAGCCCAGCCAGCTCTGGGAGCCCAGTGAGCAGGGCAGTAGCACGGGGAAGTTAGAGTCTCAAAGACTGGCAGGCAGGGAGGGGCTGGGGGAAGGCGTGCCCCAGAGCTAGAGGGGCAGCGCCCAGCTCAGACAACGACCTTTTGGGTAGAGCGCCTCCACTAGGCTGTCTCTCCTTTCCCTTCGAACTCAACACTCAAGTGTTAGCCTCCACAAAAGTGAAACCACCAGAGAGGGTTGGTGGGTGCTTTGGGTAAAATTTTTAAAATCAATTGTATAATGAGTAACAAATTGGCTTCTCTGTAGAGGAAAGTGCTTGCTGGTAGATTGATTGGCGAGACCTTTCCTTTGTCCCAAATCCATCTGAATTTTATCAGGGGTCACATCTCCCCCAGTAGTGCCCATGGCACACAACTCCATGTCTCTCTGACCTGTAATCAGGTAGGGGGCTGCTATCTATCCAGAGCAAGCTCTCAAGTCAGACAGACCCAAGTCCAAATGCCAGCTCTACCCTGACTGTAGTCAATGACACTGTATTACATGCTTGAAAGTTGCTAAGAGTAGATCTTAAGTATTCTACACACATATACACACACACACACACCCTGATTATTTTTCTAATCCTATTTCTTCCTTTTTAAAACAATTTTATTGTTGAAAGTATTACATATGTCCCCCCTTTTCCCCATTGACCCCTTCTAGCCTGCACCCTTCACCCCCTCTGCCCCAGCCTTCACCACACTATTGTCTGTGTCCATGCGTTATACATACAAGTTCTTTGGTTATTAATCTCTTCCCACTCACCTATCCCACCTTCCCGCTTAGATTATTTCCTCCTTTGTAAAATGATGGCAACAGTAATCTCTCAGGATAAATTCTATTGTATTGAGAGAAGTAAAGGAGAGTAAGGCTGCCAAGTACTCAGCACAGTGCCTGCCATAATGCTCAATATATGAAAGCTGCTATTATTCAGGTAGATTCCATTATTTAGCACTTATTCAAACTTTCAGAAAGAAAGGCATCTGTAAACAAAGAGAAATGCTATTAAAGCTAGGTAATTCAAATACCACAATCCTAAAATATTTAGATGCTAAACATGTACATACACACACACATGTGTGTATACACAGACTGAAACTACCATACTTATTCAGACAAGAAACACACATGCTTTATTTTAAGACATGAACACCACCTCCATGTACTAGCAAGTCAGGATATCTCACTCCACAATACAGGATATCACAATATGGGAAAAGTCACTGATGTCATGAATGCCTTTAAACTAACTCCCTCAGGGAACAGTGAGATGTGTAGGTGTGCTTTTCAAGTTGTATGAAACAACCAGAAACTAAAGAACATAATTGGTTACCTAATTTGACAAAGAGTTGTCTTACAGTGTGTGACTTTACAAGTATTTTGAAGGAATTAGAACTACTATATTGCAAACTTTCAAGAAAAATGAAATGTCAAACAGATCATTTTAACAATCCCTTGTGCATTTAGTGTGCGCTATGGGTATTTTACATGCTTTTCCCTTTTAACGCTTATAATCCTAAGAAGAATTACCCCATTTTAGGCAGGAGAGCACTGAAGCTTGGAGGGGAAGTTTACCTAGCAGGTTAGTGACAAAGCTGAGACATGCCTGTCAGCCAATGCAATTCTTAGACATGGTGCCCACTCTCATGCAGAGCCTTGAAGATGTGACCAGAGATTTGGATTTGTGCTCTACTTATATTTAAGTAGGAATTCATAATCAGAAATAATTATTCTACCAGAAATACAGGCTGTGTGCGTGTGACTGTGTGTTAGAAAGAGAACAGAGCCCAACAGAATAGAGACTGAGCTTGGCACAGTGAAGAGCTTCCTGTCAGCACATCTGAATTGGCCAGAGGCAGGGAGGTGACAGCTGGGACCAATCTCCAATTCATGTACTCCCCTCTGGTATCTGTCTGAGCACTCTTCATATGTTTATCCATTCAATCCTCACAGCACTCTCATGGGGTAAGTATAATCATTACCCACACTTGATAGATGAGAACATGAGACAAAGGAATATTAGGGAATGTGTATCAGATTGCACAGCCCACTGGATTTGAACCCAGGCTTCTGGCTCTAAGCCCTCTCACCTGGCAGTGGGGACTTGCTGTCTCAGGGTTCCTGAAATCAGGCATGCGCATAGTCACCTTCTTAATGTGACGGAGAGGAGCTTAAGCTTTAAATGAGAGACAGATTTGAATCACAGTTAGGTCGGCAAATCCTAAATCTCTTTGTCCTCATCTAAAAATAGAGATGAGAGTTAGTTATTTTTATAATAATTATGTAAAGCAATGGACCCAGAGGAGTTACTGAATAAGTTATACTCATTCCAATGCAGGGGGCCAGCCTTGGTAATCCCAGCCAGCCCTTCAAGGTGCTATTAGGAGCTTGACTCTCAGGTTTGGCCAGCAGGGAGTGGGAATGAAATCTCTCCTTCCTTCTTTGGTTCCTTTCCCTCTGTCTTACAAGTACACAGGGAACCAAAATGTGTGCAGCCACAGCAGCTCTTAATGTCGCGGTTATCCTAACTGTGCTCAGAAGGCTTCAGTGGGAGCCTATGGGACTCTCAAATGCTGCTTGAGAAACAAATGTGGCATTAAGTAAGCCTATAGAAAAGGAGTTCTCACTTACTTTTAATTAAACATTCTTTCCCCATATCCAACAATAGGGAGAAAATTATGTATCATGAATATTTAAGTAGAAAGAGTTTTGTTGGTAGTTAATAGAAACAAACAAGTCACTTTTGGTAAAAAGGAGAGATATCCCTTACAAACAGTGGTTTTGCTAACTGGGGTTTTACTCTGAAGATGGTTTATAGTGTATCCTTCATTTAAAAAAATATTTAGCCTTTTATTGTATAGCCATGATTTGTTCATTCTAGCCCCTTTAGACAAAGGACATTGGATCCTTCTCCCATACAGAAATAGTGAAATATTAAAGAGCCAATCACTCATCCATCCTCTCCTCCAAGTTTTATTTAGTAAAAATACTAGTAGTTGAGCATGATGGTGTCATCTTGTAGCTATAGGAACCAACACACAGATAGTAAGGAACGTGTCTCAGTCAGAGTTAGTAAGTGATGATCTGGGAAGGCCGATGCCAGAGCTTGTGTTCTTAACCACCTGCTAGACTGATTCAGTAGAGAGCAGACACAAGGAATAAAATAGAGATCAAAGTGTCAGCTTAATTAATGGAACCCCAATAACTCCCAAACTGTAGGGGTTTGGTTCAACTATGTATATTGAAGGACTTTGATAAAAACAAAGGCAACAGTGTGGCTTTCTACTATTTGCTCTCCATCCTAGAGTTTAGAACCCCCTTTCCATGGACCCAAGGTCAGTTACCAACCTGCACGGAGAATCGCAGGCCTGGCTCTCAAACCTGGTTGATAACAGGAGAGCAAAATTATTATTATTTAAAAATATTTTTATTGATTTCAGAGAAGAAGAGAGGGGTAGATAGAAATATCAATGATGAATCATTGATTGGCTGCCTCCTGCACACCCCCTACTGGGGATCCAGCCCACAACCCAAGCATGTGCCCTTGACCGGAATTGAACCTAGGACCCTTTTGGTCCACAGGCCAACCCTCTATCCACTGAACCAAACAAGCTAGGGCAAATTATTGATCAAAGATAGTGACCCTACCTTTTGAATGCAGTCACCCTGCTTCTGATAAATGTGACCCTGTGGACGTCATGCTCCCATGATGTCTAATTGGCTATACTTCCTGTGGAAAAGAGCAAGAAAAGCGAAGCACAGAGAAGCAGACTATCCCCAGGACGTCCCTGAGAAGCTGGAAGGGAGAGCAGGAGTTCTTTGCTTTACTGACAGAGAAATGTTCCCGGGCAGCGAAGAGAAATCCTCCCTTCACAGGAGAGGCTAAGGGTGGGACAACCAGAGCAGATCTCTACCTTCCTGATAGAGATTCAAGACTTAGACCAGGAAAGTTCACCTCTAGGCCCCCTGACTCTGAGGCTGGTGATCCAGATGAGATCAGAGAGAGTGTTTTCCATGTCAATGAACTTGGTTAGGTTTGAAATATACCTTTAGGACTTTCATTTGCTATGGGTTTTGTTCATACTTAATAATTTACTCACATAATTATTGCACCAAAATGATAACATTGGTTCTCATATTCTCATCATGTAAGTAATGAGCCACATTCACATAAGAAAGCAACACTCAAACTGATGTCATTTTTAAAGTTGACAAATAAGGACTACATTTCAGAATTTATTTCAACGAATAAACTTAGACTTTCCAACATAGAATGCTTATAATGCCTAGTAGAATTAGCTACCTTGCACATACCAGGACAGGGGAAATTTTTATTGATCAAATATAAGGAAATTTGTTTATTGATAATGAAGAAACTAAAACGATAAATTTGGATTAAATATTACTATCTGCAATGTTGAATATTGCTTTGCTTCTTATAAATTTATACTAGAATGTCTTCCCAAATCTCAATCTAAACTATTATGCACATTTTTACTTATAAATTAAAACAGAAACAAGATAAACTGTATATTGATTCTTATATTCACTGACCAAGAAGATACTTAAGATGTAAGTTTTTCTAATCCTGATTTAAAACTGCTATTTTAAGACCTTTTAAAAACTGGAAAGACAAAAAGGATACAGAACCTTTGTGAGACAGAGAAAAATTTAATACTCATTAAAAGGTATATAGCTCTATTTTTAAAGTCTTGCTTATAGAACCAATTCATATATTTTCCTTCCCTCCTATTATTGAGAATTACAATTTAACAATATGACAAATACACATTAATATTTAAAAGGTGCTTCTTTTAGAAGATAAATGTTTTTCTTCTTCATAGATTTATAACCTCACCAACCCCAATCTTTTTTCCAAATGACATAGAATTTCAAAACTCAGGGAATCTAAGTTCCTAATTAAAATTAGAAGAAAAAAAAACTACTTCAAAGAATCAGAGACCCAGCTAAAATATGGTGAAACAAATTACCTCTGGATGCTAATCTGAGATTTTTCTTAATTTTTGCTTTCTCTAAATTATAAAATCAATATCATACCTAGATGAATTTTTTTAAAGATAAAAAAAATTATCATCTGAATACCAACATAATTATTTCCAATTTTGCATATACCATTGACTCCTTCAGCCTGGTGCATGCACATTTTACACAGTTAAAATCATACCACATATTCAAATTTGTACTCTGATTATTTTCATGAATATCTTTTTAGTGATTATTTGCTGTTTTTTTCTCATTATTGAATACCCAATACGTAACTAAAACAGTGTCTGGCACACAGTAGGTATCATAAATACTTTAATAAAGAATTAAAAAAAAATGTCAAAGTGCCCAAAAGCTCCTTAAAGGGAGGATGTGTTGTGTATTATACTATAGGACAGAACTATAGCTGGTGCTCAGGAGACAAAAAGTATGAGTTAGTGGATAATGTTTTTCTTTTCACTTTCTTCTGAAAACTTCCCAGCCTCAAATCAAATATATATGACCTTTGGGTTCTGCAGGGATGGCCCTGGGCTTGCTATTAAAGGCTACTTTTGTTCATGTGCTACAAAGAATAGCAGTGTGACATGGAGCAGTGTATTCCTAGTTTGAATTTTATTGTATTAGGGTAGGACTTTTGGAAACATAAAGAGTGGGAATTAATGAAAGTTCGCCCTCTAGTGGATGTCATTCCTATCTTGAAAACAATGCTAAAAAAAAAAGAAAAGAAAACAATGACCGCCTGACGTTTGTAGGCAAACTATGCATCTATTAGCCTCCTGCATTTGAATAACCAGAGTTCAGGAGGTGAGTCTGTATAGTGAGGAATACCCACATCTGAAACTGTTCCTGGGCTTTGAAAAGTGAACTGTGGGAGTTTGGGTAGGAGGGCTCCTTAGTTCAGGCCAGCCGTGCTCCTGAGCAAATTCAGCACTGCTCTGCCTCTCCAATCCCAATGCTTCCAGACAGGAGGCCACTTGGCTTTCAGGAGGAGGAAGGGTGGGTCACTCGTGAGGATGAGGAATACGAAGCTCTGGCTTTCAGATAGTCTAACAGATCATGTTTTCTCATGAAGGCTAAGGAGATCTAGGGGAAAAGTCTAGGAGATTAGAGATACAGAAAGGACAGGGAGGTCTTTTAAAGACAAACTGCCTATTTTAAAATTAGGCCTGCACCCAGGACACTTGCCAACGCAGTTATTTTTTTATAATAAAAAATGCATTCCAAATTGCAAGGACATACATACACATGTGACACATCTCCTTCCATGCCGAACGGCATCATGGCACAGTGGAAATAACTTTAGCCTCAGAATACCAGCACATTGTGTTCAATACATGTTACTATTGCTAGCCGGTGTCTTCTATCTATACAGCTTGATATTTTAAAATTGTGGCACACCACTGATACTAGTATAGATTCGATCTCATTAAAAATCCATAGATGAAAATCTACATGTAAGTGAATATTACAATGTATGTATGCTGATATAAGCCTTATTTGGGGGGAAATAGCTGGTTTTTGAAGTTCTACATAATGTAGTTTTATATACTTAACTAGAGGCCAAGTGCATGAAATTTGTGCACAGGTAGGGTCCCTAGCAGTTGCTGGCTGCTGGCCAGGGCCTCCCTTCCCTGGCTGCCATCTGGGGCCTTCCTTCATTCCATGCCACCCCTTGGTGGTCAGCACACGTCATAGTGAGTGATCGAACTCCCAGTTGGTTGAACTCCAGAGGAGACACTTTGCATATTAGACTTTTATATATATAGATACATTCATGATTCCAGTTTTAAAATGTTCTTAATATACAATTTAAGACACATGTATTTGCATTACATTTGTGTAAGGAAGCTTTTCTTAAAATAGTTTAGTATTATTATTTTATGGTGCTTAAAATCTTACTGTTATTTAGATAAAATAATCTAGAAGGCCATACACCAAACTAAAAACAATGGTATTTTTCTTCTTTCATTTCTAATTTCTTCGTATGATGTTTATATGTTTTTTTCATAATGGAAAAAAAAGGGACTTACGTTATGATGCATTTGTGCAGGAAGCACACGAGAGAGCAACACTTGTGTGGTAAAATAATCAGTGTGTTGATCCTTCACACTTTTTCTCCTTTAGGGCAAATAGATTTACGGAGAAACTCAACCGCAAGGCCCAACGGAAATGCAGTCAATTGCAGGACCTGAAAGGAAAATGGCAACAGTGGGCTGATGAACACATACAATCCCAGAAGCTCAACCCTTTCAGTGAAGAATTTGATTATCAGCTGGCCATGTCCAACCGCCTCCACAAGGGAGACGAAGGCTACGGCCGTCCCAAGGAGGGAACCAAAACAGCCGAGAGGGCCAAGCGAGCCCAGGAACACATCCATCGGGAAATTATGGACATGTGCTTCATTATCCGCACAATGGCTCGCCACAGACGTGATGGCAAGATCCAGGTCACTTTCGGAGATCTTTTTGACAGATATGTTCGTATTTCAGATAAAGTGGTGGGCATACTCATGCGTGCCAGAAAACACGGACTGGTGGACTTCGAAGGAGAGATGCTATGGCAAGGCCGAGATGACCATGTTGTAATTACTCTACTCGAGTGAACCTTCAACAACAAAAGCCAAACTTGACCCACTATTGTCTTAATGCTAAATGCTAATTTAGTCAAATTAAAATGCAAACTGTTCTGTAATAAGTAGGATATAATAAACAACTTTTACATGAATGACTTCTGGGTACTCTATTTCTGAGGAAGTTTGAAGATTTTTGATAAAGCACACACAAACATTTGAAATTCTACTTATCCTTTTAGGCAATAATATTTGGCTATTCATTGCAGACATTATTATAGGTCTTTAATGAAATAATTACTACCACTAAGAAGAGTGCTGAGTTTAGGTACATATCAGCAGTACATATTATTATGTCATTTTTCAGGAAAAAAAAAGAATTCCATTAAGTTTGGCAAAACAAATCTTAAAACTTTTCTAAGAAGCTTGACTTTGTATTATTTTAATCATAGTATCACTTACAAAATAGGCACACAAGTAAAAAATTAAGATTTCAAATAAAGTAATGAAATTGTTCAAATTTCTCTGTGGGCTTCTTATGATTTAATAGGTTTCCACAGTTAGCCATGCCTCTTTGTCATTTGTGCAAATCACAAGAAAACAGACATCACTGGTGGTCTTGGAACCAATCAATAGGAAAGGCGGTTATGTTCACTTTTGCTATAAAAGTAAAACAGAGATGAGAGATCAGATTTAATTGCCCTCAGAGGACTTCTTGGAGAAGTTTATTTTTTCTCAAAACTGTAATGTCATGCTGCTTATATGTATGTCAACATATAATGAAGTAGTAGTACAGAAAATTCTACAATAAAGTAGAATGTTTATGTACCTTTTCTTCATACTCTAACAAACTTTATAAAATATCTGAAAATTATAAAACAGCAATATTAGACCTGCCACAGTGAAAGTTAGTTGAATATGATGCCAAAGAAATATTTGACACTAAACAGCTATTTGTCATTTTTTTCTCAATCAGATTTAATGTTCTTTATATAATTATAAAACAAACTGAAAAAATGTGATTGTAATTCTTACTGAATTCAATAAAAATTACTAAATTATATAGCACTTTGGTGTTAAATATAGAAATTAATGTCAAATTATGATACCTCAAAATAATAAATTCATAATTGTTAGGTATTAGTTTACTATAAATATGGATTAAACTACTATAGAAATTAGTTATTTTCATTTATGATTCTTTTAAAATTAAAGTTCCAATAACTTCTTAAAGAGGGCTTGTATATTTGTTTTTATATAATTTAATAATATAATTTGTAATTTAACAAATGACTAATATTCCTAAGTAGAATTTCATGTAAGATGTACACTTCTATCATAATCATGAACCGATGTCAAAATTCTAAGATATAGTACAAGAATAAAAGACATTTTCTTGTATTTCCTGTTCTTGTGTTTAGAACACTAGCTTCCCTAGAGGAAAATGACTGCTATGGGACAGATTTTTATCTTAAAGATCCCATGGTTGAAAAACCCAGTGGAAAATTTAAGGCTTTTAGAAAAACAAAAAAAAGTAGAACTCAGAGGGCAAACAAACTAATGAAAATCTTCATATTTTCATAATCACCAAAATTATATATGAAAGAATTATAATAAAATATACTATCAATGACATTTTACTGTTGGTAGTTCTAAACTTCCAATAATGGGTCCTCTATAATTGGTTTCCAAATCTTCAGGATTTTCCTTTACCAAACTTTCCATAAGATATTTAAAGAGTTTCTGGGTTGTTGACATGTACTATATTTTACCACTTCTGTCTGGACCTCCAAATGTTTGATGGCCTTTTAACGTTTATAACTTGAAGTTCACCCTGGCCACTTACACCAACAGGAGAGAAGTTCTGTGCTTGGGTTTTCTTCCCTCCCCCACAGTTGAAAAATGAGGCTGGACCTATATTCTTAGTTTGCCTTTTTGCTTTTTCCTTTCCCTTCCCAAATTCAAGTTGTTTCTTCTTTACTACTACCAACAGGTGTACCTACCAGGTGCTGTGGGAATAATTCTGGGTAAACTAGAATTTTGTGTTTCAGGGACTCAGGGAACAACTGCTGTACTTTCTCTCTTAAGTCACTCTGTTGGGGGATTATAGAAGGAGCAAGAGACCACCTGGTCCATACTAAAGTGGCCTCTTAATGCAGATGATTCCGTGGGATTCCTTGAATATTTATTTTCATTCCCATTACCTAGGATATTTCTTAGTACACAATTTATAAATGTGTTATGTGACCTAACCTTAGTCTAGAGCAGTGGTTCTCAACCTTGGCTGCACATTAGAATCACCGGGGAGTCTTTTTAAAATCCTGATTTCTGGGCCTCATCCTTCGGAAATTCTGTTTCTTTGTTACTAATGTTGTGGCCTCACCCCATAACAAAGTAACAGAATTTCTGGAGGATGAGGCCCAGAAATCAGGATTTTAAAAAGATTCCCCGGTGATTCTAATGTGCAGCCAAGGCCGAGAACCACTGTAGACGTTTTCAGAATGCTGTGGTTGACAATAATCCCAACAAGGTTAGCTGATAACATGTATGCCCAGATTTTGAGGGCATGTCAGTATCTAACAAGATTACATAGCATTTACTTCTTGACCAAGAAATTTCACTCTTTAAAACTCCCCTGAAGATACTACTCAAACAATATGAAAATACGTATGTGTAATGCATTATTTTTAATTGCAAGTCACTGCAAAGAACCTAATACATATGGGAAAATGATAGAATAAAATATGGTACATCCATATAATGTATGCAGCTCTAAAAAAGGAAGATCTTTAAGAACTGAAAGTTATTTTTAGAAAGCATGTGTGTATACACACACTAGATTTTATACACACATATATACACACCCTGGATTATATGTGTGAACATGTCATATATATACACTGAGTGGCCAGATTATTATGACCACCTGACGTTTGTAGGCAAATTAGCTATAATTTCCCGCTGAAGTTGCTAGAGGGCAAGATCATTATAAACGTCTGAATAGCACAACATACCTAAGTATCGCTGATCAAGTTAATCCTATCATGTTGATGGCGTATCCCAATGGAGATGGCTTCTTCCAACAAGACAATGCGCCATGCCACGGTGCTCGTATTGTGCAGGAGTGCTTTCAAGAACACTCCTTGAGGGAGACTTTACCTTGCTTAGGTGGCCCCCACCATCACCAGATCTCAATCCAATTGAGCATTTGTGGGGTGAAGTTAAAAGAGCCATCAGGCAGCTGGTTCCACAACCATCAAATCTCACAGAACTGGACAGTGCTATTCATCAGGCATGGTGTCAGATTCCTCGCATCACCTTTCAACATCTCGTGGAGTCAATGCCAAGAAGAATCGCCGCAGTATTGAAGGCAAAAGGTGGCCCAACGAAGTACTGATGGGGGGGTCATAATAATCTGGCCACTCAGTGAATATAAAACCTCCATTTTGAAAATAGGGATGGGTGGAAATAAGTTGAGACAGAAAAAAGTTCTGTAGAATTTGGATTTTGGAACCTTTTAAATGTTACATATACAAAAAAAGTAAAATTAAACAAATGAATAGGAAAAATATAAATTGAATACAAAAATAATAACAATAATTCTATTTCAAATGATTAAAATAAGCACACAGGAAGGAAAAAGAAATATACCTAACTTTTGAATACAATCCAGAGACAAAAAAGCTGCAAAGAAATGCTAAAATCTAATTTTGTTTGTGAGGGTATGGGTGTACAATTCTGAAACTATGTCTTAGATGAAGAAAATGAGTAAACATACTGATGTCTTCGGTGTGGGAGAACAGACACAAACATGGAGAGGAAAGACGAGGAAGAATCTGTAATTCTAAACAGGTTAGAAGTATCGGTGTGCATTTGTGATGTGTGCATTTATTTCCTACCTCTGTCTCCCATAGAAGCAATGCCGCCCCAGCAGCAACACGCTAAATCCAGATTTCAAAATGCTATCCTCCTTAAAAGAAAACATATCTACTTGGAGAAATGACTAATTCTAGGATGGGGTTACAGAAAGTATAGTTAAATTTGGAACATCGTGTTGCACCAGAAGCAAGCAAGGTTCAAAGACATGGAGAAATGCACAGAAGCCAACTATTGGGGTTCCCATTGGTTAACTCTAGGGCACAAATAGATTATTCAAGACTTGGAATTAAGAAAAGAAGCCCACTAGTCATACTAATAATGGACATTGTTTTTTTTAAAAAAACTAACTTCATTATTTTATTTTAATCCTCAACCAAGGACATGCTTAGAGAGAGGGAGGAGGGAGAGAGGGAAGAAGGATGGGAGGAAGAAACACCTATTGGTTGCCTTCCATTCATGCCCCAACAGAGGATCAAACTTGCAACCCAGATATGTACCCTGACCAGGAATCACACCAGTAACCTTTTGGTACACAGGACACTCAACCAACCAATGATCCACTCTGGCCAGGCAATGATATTCTTAAATGATAGAAAAAGGAAAACTCTTCCTTACAGTAAATGCCAAATAATAAATGTGCTGGGAATAAAAGAAAAATGATTTTACAACCATTTTAGTAATTCAGATAAGAATCCTCAATAGATACCAAGAACATTGTGAAAAATAGAGTATCTATGATATCAAAGTACCTCCCTGCACATTCCTTATTACAAAAGGAAACATGATAGCAGTGGAGAAACATGGTGCACACTTTCTTCATCAACTAATGGAAACTTTCACCAATAAGGGGATAAACATAAATCCTAATATGATGCAGAGGACAGAACATTGCTTCTGTGGTTTTGCTGCCAAAAATGCATAACTTAAATTTAAATATAGGAAAAATTCAGATAAACCCACACCGAACTCTTCCAGGTTGAAAATAAAGAAGATAGAATTAAATGCAATGAAGGATCCTGGATCTAATTATGTATCAGAAAAAAATAACACTTTAAAGGATATTAGAACCATTGGTGAAATTCAAAAATGAACTATATATTCAATGATATATTAAATTTCCCAAATTTGATAATTGTATACTTAAAGTACCTAAAAGGATATCCTTGTCTTTAGGAGATACATGCACATGTTTATATACATGGTTTGAGAGTTATTAATCTTAGCAAAATAATAGGTGAGTGGGTGTGTGGAGAAATAAGGGAGATTCTGGGGAAAGGAG